CATTTTGGATTTCTCCTTTGCAAATGCTTTCTACTAAATTTATTGTTGAACCCACGGCTAATAGAGACAATCGATAAGTAGACTAGAGCAATTTTAAATGATTTAAATATAAATATTTAAAATGAATATATTGTTTTACTTCATAATTAATAATTATTTACATACAGGATGTATATAAATGGCATCATATTTTGATGATAATAATTCTAAATTATTTGTATCTGTACACCCATCAGTACTCTTTAAAATATCTATTTGTTCTTGACTATGTTTCATAAGTATTTCATTCTCTGAAGCTAATCTCGGTGTTATCAACTTGCATCTATTTATTAAGCCCAATTCTTCACATCTCTGTAAAACTCTTATCAATCTAGCAGGACATTCTGGATAATTTGAATCCCAAAGACATTTATGTTCTGCCATAGAATGATCAAATACAATACCAGTTTCCATTCTTTTTATATTATATGCATCAATAGCTTTTTGATATATATCATGTATAAAAACATTATTAGATTTTTTTCCTTGTAATATACGTTGTTGAGCTGCTTCACGTTTAGCTGCTATTAAAGCAGCAGATGGACGAACCTAATCAAATGAAAAAAATAAAAAATTTACAATTATCATTAAATTATTCTTTTATGATTTTTATATTTACATTGAATACTTTTGTAGATTTTTTGACACTTTTCTTATCTGTCGTAGACATAGTATTTTTAATATTTTTAATATTATTTGTTTTCTTTGAATTTTCTATAGTCTTTATTAATTCAATCTCACTGTCTGCTAATTGTTTAACAGCAGTGAATAAATCTTTACATATCATAGAATTAGACTGCAAGAAAACAAAACGAGATTAATTTTAGATAAGATAAATATAAATGAAAAATAAAAAAATAAATTTCAACAAATAAATGTAAAAAATAAAAATAAATATATTATTCTGAATTGGATAATATATATATATATATATATATTAATTTTATATGATATTGTAATTTAATTTAAGAACAAAATAATTTATATAAAAAAAAATCAAATATTATAAATGATTATTAAACATAAAAATAACATAATTGAAAAAATTACACAATTCAATAAAATCAAAAATAAAAATATGTCTAATTATATAAATTAAAAAAATTATTACGGAATAAATTAAGTGATATCAAGTAATATATGAACAATATAAGATATATCCTTGATAGTACACAAGAACATATACCCCTTCTACTTGATATATAGAAACCTCTTATATTCGTTTTGTTTAAATAACTACATATGATTGAAAAAATTAATTTTCTCACCATTTATATTCGTAAATAACCTCAAAATTTAATAGAAAATTGAATTATCTAACAAATTATTTCAATAAACAAATCATGCTCAAATAAAAAATTTTTGAACTTTTGTCAATCAAAAGAAATTTATTTTATAAATTGAATATTTTTTTTATTAAAACATATCTATTCTGTTTTTTCTTCATTTTCACTTTCAATTTTATTTTCATATAATTCTAATAAAATTTATATTTTTACTTGTAACACCATTTTTAACTTGTAACTACAGACTTAGTTAAAATCACAGTAATGCCATCATCCAGTCAAAAATAGAATCATATATCTTAAGATTGTTACTTTCTGTTAAGTACACTATATAAATCATTATACATATTTATAACCTCTAGCATATCGTTTTCTAATAAATGTACAATAACAAACTTATTTTATTTTTAAAAATATTTTTGTCATTTCATAAAAAATAAATATTATAATCAAATGACTATATGACTATATGTGAAAATAAAGATTAAATAATTTATTAATAATTTATTTTATTTATTTTTTTATATATGAATTATTCTATTATTTAAAAAAATTTTAATTACATGTTTTATCATTATAATTTAAATTAATATTCAAAAATTTGCATAAAAATTCTTTAAATTGTGTTTTGACTTATAATATTTTGAATGAATATAATAATTTCTATTCTTGAAAACTTTTAATATATTATAGTATATTATTATAAAAAATGATCCAAATGTTGAAGAAACAATTTCCAAGAAATTGCAAAAGATATAGGAATGTAAATACATGGTCATCTCTTGCAACAGCATTCAATTCTATTAATAAAGAAAAATATGGATTTGATTTTTTGAAAAAAGAAACTGTGAGTATATTTTTTACATTATTATATTTTTTATATTATTTTAAAAAATATATATTTTTTAAAATATTCATAATTATTTGTATAAAATATATTAAGTTTTAAAATTTTGATATTTTTTATAGGGATTATTTGGAATATCTGAATTAAAAACATCAGAAGGATTTAATGTTTTAAGAGATCAAGCAATATCTCAAACAGATGCACTTATAGCAGAAGCTATGAGTCAAAATAGAAAACGAAAAATGGTAGAAATTTTTGATGATATGTCTGATACATTATGTAAAGTTGCAGATTTAGCAGAGTTTATTAGAATTGCACATCCACAAAAACAGTTTGTTACAGCTGCAGAGAAGACTTGTCTCTCTGTTAGTGGTATTGTAGAGAAGTAATTACTTTTAAAAATATTAAAAAAATTAATGAATATTTATAATTTTTTCAAAAAAATAGTATAAAAATTATTTACAAATTTTTTTAGATTAAATACTCATCGTGAATTATATAATGCATTGAAACACATAGTATATAATGAAGATATTCAGGAAACATCTATAGTAGATAAACATGTTGCAACATTATTCTTATCTGATTTTGAATTATGTGCTATTCATTTACCAGAATCTATAAGAGAAAAAGTTGTACAATTGAATTATTATATATTACAAGTATATAGATTAGTATATTTTATTTATTTATATAAATGTTTATACTATATATATATATATTTAAAAACATCTATTATATAATTTTTTTTTCCAAATAGATAGGTCAAAAATTTATGACAGGTGCTAGTAATACAAGAGCAGTAGATTCTAGTATTGTTCCACCTAATATAAGACAATAGTAAGTTTCGTAAATAAATAATTTTTTCATTTAAAATATGAGATTTAAAATGTTTTTTAAAAAATATTTTAGTTTCACAGAAAAGGATAATAAAATATATGTTCAAGGACTTTATGTAGATTCTCCTAATTGCTTACTTAGAGAAACAGCATATCGTATATTTCTATATCCTGATGAAGAACAAGAATATCTTCTACAAGAACTTTTAAATTCTAGATATACTTTGGCTAAACTATGTGGATTTTCATCTTATGCTCATCGGTAGATCATAAATATTTATTGATAAAACTAAAATTAACTAAAATTAATATGTATTATTTGTATACTTATATGTATTAAAAGTAAACAATTTATAGAGCTGTTAAAGGAAGTACTATGGAAACACCTGAAGTAATATATGAATTTCTTAATATCTTAAATGATAATTTAAAGTCTAAAACAAAACAAGATTTTAATGAAATGCAAAAAATGAAAAATATTGAATCACCTATAAAACAGGTTTAGATATTTATTAGATATTATTTATAATATTTTTATTTAAAAAAATGTTATTATATATATATATATATATATATATATATATAAATTAATAATTTACATTATTTTTTATTTTTTATAATAGAAAATAATGCCATGGGATACAGCTTATTTTACAGCAAAAGCAAAAAGAAATTGGTTAAATATATCTATTACTGAATTTGCACCATATTTTTCACTTGGTGCTTGTATGGATGGAATTAATATATTGATACAAGCATTATATGGTATCCGATTGGAATATGTACCAGTTTTATCTGGTGAAGTTTGGGCAAATAATGTACATAAAATTGTTGTAATAGATGAAAATGAAGCAGTTTTGGGTTACATATATTGTGATTTTTTTGAAAGAGAAGGAAAACCTAATCAAGATTGTCATTTTACTATTAGAGGTGGAAGGCAATTATCTGATGGATCTTATCAGGTATAATTTAAATGAAGAAAAAATAGAAAATTTATATAGAATATATACATACATAAGGTACTCATTATAACAATCACATAATTTTTTAGAATAATCCGATAAATATTTTAAATAAAAAGATTAGTTAGTATTTTGATAAGATAACTTTAATTTTCTAGTAAATGTGTTTTAATAACTTTTACAATTGCTAACCGAGTGTTGATTAATTTTTATTTAAATCATTTTTTTTATTAATTTAATAAAATAATGAATACCTTGTATATATACATTTTAATTTAATAATATTTTTCATTATTATCATTATTCAAATGTTTATTTTAGAATCCTATAGTAGTATTAATGTTATCATTACCAGTTCCAACATGGTCCAAACCATGTCTACTTAGTCCTTCTTCTGTAGAAAATTTATTCCATGAAATGGGTCATGCATTACATTCTATGCTAGGTAGAACAAAGTACCAGCATGTAACAGGAACTAGATGCAGTACAGATTTTGCAGAAGTTCCAAGTATTTTAATGGAATATTTTGCAAGTGATCCAAGAGTAAGTTATTAAAAATTATAATCAACTTTTTAAATAATTTTTAAATAAATTTTATCATTTATAATTTATATATATTAATATATATTATTAGGTTGTATCCACATTTGCTAGACATTTTCAAACTTTTGAACAAATACCAATAACATTATTAGATAAATTATATGCTTCAAAGAATATATTTTGTGCTTCTGAATTACAAAATCAAATATATTATAGCATGTTAGATCAAGTTTATCACAGTGGACAATTAGAAAAGTCATCAACTGAAATTTTGAAAGAAATACAAGGAAAATACTATGAACTTCCTTATATTGAAAATACAGTATGTAATTTTTTTTGTTTAGTTTTTATAATAATTTATTATAAATCATAAAAATTATAAATAAAAAATTATATTTTTAGGCATGGCAATTAAGATTTTCTCATTTAGTTGGATATGGTGCGAAATATTATTCTTATTTAGTATCTCGAGCAATTGCTTCATGGATATGGCAAACATATTTTCAAGCAGATCCTTTCAATCGAATGACAGGCAATCGATATTGGAAAGAATGCTTAGCACACGGAGGTGGAAAGCTTCCTTCTAAATTAGTATCTGATTTTTTAAATAAACAGGCTAATGCTAATAATCTTGCAAAATCTTTGCTTTACGAAATTGATATAAAAACCAAACACGTAGAAAAATTAAGAGAATAAGAAAACCGCTAAAAAAGATTATATATTTAGAAAAATATCTTTTTAAAGATATGAAATACTTATAAAATTTTCTTGTATATAATTTTTTTAACAAAATAATTTTTCATGATAATTTATAGTACGTTTAAGATAAGTATTGTAAAAATGCATCGTTATTTCAATCGTAATTGTAAAAACATAAATAATTTTATAACTTAATATTTTATCTTGTAAATAAAATGTAAATATCATGCACAAAACATAACTTGAGTTTTTTCTTTTATTTTATTACAAGTATGGAATCTTATCCTATTTACAATCTGTTAAATCTACGAACGATTACACAAAAATAAGTTTTTGAATGTAATACAGAGGAAACGCAGTATAAGGTAATTTATGAAATTTAATTTATATAATTTAAATCATTTATAATTTTCTTGCATTATTTCTAAAAGAAATCAAATAAAATAACAAAATTCTGAAATAACATGAAAATATTATCTTTTTGAATCTATTTTAAAATGATTTCTTTATATGAATTTACCATGTACTGCGTTTGGGAGATAGTTTTAATATATATTAAAACTTTTCATAGGATTTGCATTAAAATTACCTAATGGTTCATCAACATTTTTTTTGTTTATACAAAATTTCATTAATAAGCTATTTCATAATTACACATAAAATGACTGAACAAGCCACTGGATGATTCAAATTTTATTGATTGTATTAATAATATATTTATTTATATATATATTTTCTTTTTTTCAATAACAATCGATTTCTACGTTATGAAATTCTGTTTTTTTTTGAAAATGTTTTCTTATGTAGTTTATGGAATATAATTAGATATTTGTATTCACAAAAAAGCACTGGACCTTCTTTTTACAATAATTTTTTGTTTTCATCTTTAAATTACAGTAAATAAGATAATAAGAAATTCTGTATTCGATTTAGCATATAGTTACAGTAATTTTATTTATACTTTATCTTGCTAGAAATTTTATTTTGCACAGCATTTACATGAATAATAAATTATTTCTTTAACATTCATTTGTGAAATAACCTTGTAATACAGAGTTACTAAAAAAAAAAATAATTTTACATAAAAAATAAAGAAATATGTTAGCATATTAAAAGCATAATTTTAAAATTTCCTGAAATATTAATAAATCATAGTTAATGAAAATACTGTAAAACATAATATTTTTGCAATCTACAAATTGAAAAAATTTATTCTAAACGGAATTATTAAAATTTTTAATTTATATTATGATCTATATAAAGTAAATTGATAATTAGTCAAGAATAATTTATATCACATTGATTTTTAATTTATATATAAAGATAGAAGATTCATATATTTTTATAAACTTGTACTTTATCAAGCTATAATTCACTCAAAAGATATGCAAAAAGTAA